ACTCAAGTCGAGGCTGGGGTGTGCGACATACAGTATATTGTCTGAGATAATGGTAAGTGTTTTTACGATGTGCAATCAGACATTATTGAGTATATCACAAAAACACACACAGAGAGTGCACACATGCACCACGTGATTTAGTCAATTAAAACGCATTTAGAATCATCCAAATTCAAGGCATTCTAAATTGTAGGTGGCAAAAATGCCCCGTATGTCTTTTATATTTATATAATTTAATATAGTTAATCTGTATCACATGAAGAGTGCCGTTTTTTTTCTCCAGATATCAGCATGATAACAAATGTAATATTGATTTAATACAAGTTTAATAAAGTTAGCATTAAGTGACTTACATTTTAGAAACAATATTGCATGTTTTTGCTCAATTTTGCCAACGAAAATAGTTCCAAATAAAGATAACAGCACTGTTTTGCTTCTCTGAGCAACACACAGGATGGTGTTTCCTTATTGAATGAATCAGCTTTCTGAATTAATCGGTTGAATGAATTTCACTTATTAACAAAATCAAATGCTTTGTTCCTGAATGAATCAGCCGTTTAAATGAATGAATTGGTTGCCACCTGGAAGTTTTAATTTCACATTTCAACTATTTTTTCATGTTTTAAATCATTTCAAATATCAGTATTCAGTGTTTTATATTTAAAATAAAGCATTATTTATGCATTTGTAACTGCAGGTTAAATGCATCCATGTCCCCTCTACATTATCTAAATGCCACTTCAGATGCAGATTCCACAAGAGACTAAGTACCGGATGAGTGCCTCTTATGCTAACCCAAAGATACAAAATGGAAGAAAGAGTTCAAACTGAACACATCTTGCTGCTTAAACTGTGTACATTTTTCATTTTGCATTTACTTGTACTTTTACTTTCAATGCTTAAGTACGTTTAATATTAAAAATTACTATTCATACTTAAAGTACAATAAATATCACATACTTTAAAACTTTTACTCAAGTAATATTATAAATGGTGACTTTAACTTCTTCCCAAGTCATTTTCTGGTTAGATATCTGTACTTTTACTTAAGTGTGGATTTCAGGTACTTCCTCCACTAATAGGCTATTCATTTATTAAACAAGAATTTTGAAAACAGAATAGTAACGAGACACAAGTGTTGTCATGTAATGCGCGTAATCTTGTAATATTAACGAAAATTTGTATTATTGCCATTGACTTATGATGAATGTGAATACACTGAATATCCTACTTAATATATAATGCAACATCACGCAATTAAAAGACGATTGCCTTGACAGCTCGATTGCTCAATTTAGATTTCTTTATTTGATAATGAAAATTAAACGCATGCCTACGCAGGCAGCGCGTTGTTGTAAACTGCAAACTCTGTTAGATCTTGATTATTTGTGTTGACAGTCAATATTGTCAGCAGAAGCTAAAGCTACTCACCAGTCTACTGCGGTCTTGTTCTGTAAATTAAGGGTTCCGGTCAATGTTCGTGCAGCCAGTTTAATATTGACAGTGTATGGAATCATGGTTGAAACCATATGTCAAAGCTACAAGAAGAAGTGGAACGTTTTGGTTCGTTAAATGTAATGAATTGACGAGCTGTGTTATTAGGATGTATTTGCGGTGCGTTTCATTACTGTTCCGTCCAGAAAATGTTCCGTCAAATATATAGTACCCCCAGGTTAACATTTCTACAATGCAGTAGCCTAATTTTCATGTACCACATCATATATGTGTCTTAATATACTGAATACAAAAATAAATTCACTATTTTTAAAGATGGAAAACGTTTATTTTATCACACTTTAATATACTTTGCCATTTTGTGTATCACTTTAGGTGAGTCGGTTCCTTACACTATTCATTTAAAACAAGCGTCAATAACTATGTAAGCTTGATATAGTTTATCTGTCTTTTCTTTAACTGTTCACTTGAGTTATTGCCTTGTTTAGACGATGAATGTGTGACGGAGGTTATACAAAATAACAAGCAATAAATAAATCAATAAATTAATAAATCAATCAATAAATAAATAAATAAAATAAAATAAAAACCTGAGTAGCAAGGCGTTTTATGAATCCTGAGATATCTGCTTTATGGTACTCTAAAATATATATATTTTTAAAATCTGGACGACAATAAAGATTTCAAAATATGACTAAAAATCGAATAATGTAATGTCTTGTTTATTTTTTGCACATTAAAGAAGTTTTAACTAATACAATTTAAATACCTGAGCTTGATCAGAGTAAATTTACGAATGTTTAATATTTGTTTACCTATAACGAGCCTACGTTTTAAACACATAATGCAATATAATATGTAATATAATATCAATAATCTCTATTATTGATTAGTGGTTAAATCCTGAGTGGAACATTCTCAAACATTAACTGTTGCGGTCAATCTAGCTGCAGTTTAAAAATGCATGGTCAAGCCAAGCCAGAGGTGATTGGGGGGGAAAAGGCACGCGTGTGTGCAGGGACAAGAGAAAGAACATGTTTTCCGATATAAGATGTAATGTTTCGAGATTTTTTTGTACTTAGGTGTTTATTATCCATGTGTGTCTTTGACAGTTGTGTTTCTTTGAATAATGGTTTTCTGCGTTTTTCTTTTATGTTTTGTGTAGCCTAGATGTGTTTACAGCAGGAGTGTTCGTTAATTTATTTATTTATTTTTCTTTTTGGACATTGTATACCAGACTTCCTCAATGATTTTTACTGCTATGGATTTAATGATCATTTCAAAGACACTCTTTTATACATGATGGTCCTTGGGGGTCACTGGTGGTCACTGATTTAATTTCTGGACTATGCGTTGCTTTTGAGTGGTTCCCCTTTCACAGAGGTTGAGGAAGACCACTAAACATTTTGGGGGGCAGTAGGCAGCAAGTAGGCGCTCCTTTCCATTAGTCCGCTCCAGAGCCTGCTCCAGTCCATGAGTCCATTCCAGCCTGTGTTCCCTGTTTTTATGAGGACTTTTTAGTTGTTTCCTGTCTGGTGTGTCCTTGTAGTCAGTTTGTAGTTCTTTTGGTTTCCCTTATTACTCCCTGATTGTGTCCAGATGTGTCTTGACAGCTTGTTACCCTGTGTGTATTTAAACCTCTGCATTTCCTGTGTTTTTGGTCGGGTCTTTTCTTGGATATTGTGTTGGCTGTCTCTGTTCTGTTCCTGGTTCCTGCTCCTTTTCCTTGGATTATTGGTTGTTTAATAAATGCTGCATGTGGATCCTACTCTCCCTTGTCTCGAAATGTAGCCTCATAACAGCATTGTTTTATGAGGTGTAACGTCTGCTCTAAAAGTAAATGGCAATAACAAAATATAATAATAATAATAATAGCCTAATAATAATAATTACTATTATTATCATTATTTTAAAGAATGACCACAAAAGCAGAAAAAAATGTTATGCTCACCCATGTCCATATAATGGCATTGAACAGCAACCACCTTCAATCTTTAAGAAAAAGATGCAAAATTGATTTTTTTTTTTTAAATACATTTACTTACCACTAACCAATTTTTTTCAAATTTACTTACTTACCACGCAGTCAGGGGAGAGCAGCTGCGCTCGTTTACATGGCCGACTCGCTGTCGCCAGAGATTTATGGCATATGTCAGTGTGACATCAGAGCAGGTCGGATGTCACTTGGACACATTTATAACCGGTATTCATCTCACAGTGATCACCGGTGATCAGTTCTGCGCAGATTTTGCTCATCTCAAATGAGTCTACTGAAATCTTTCTAGTTTGTTGACATCACAAGTAAGCACTAGGCTATATTACATTATTAGTAAGATTAAATGTATTTCCTTATTTATATCCATTGATGGCAAACATTTTAAATGCATGGATGCACTTCTTTTGGGGTTAAGTCACAGAAAAAGTAAACTTATGTTCAAATTCTGTGCACATATATTTTATGTTAAATTTATGTAGAATTTATATAGTTAACACAAACTACCACTATGTCTTGCAGATGTTAAAACACATTGTGATCTGAAGAATTTGATTCAAGGTATGTTAAATTTAATCATGAGAGTAATCATGAGTAGTCATGTAATCATGAATCTGTAATCATTTACTGCCAAACTGGCATTTTCCCAGCACATGAAGCTGCACCGAAATACACCCAAAAAAAAAAAAACATTATCTTGTGGAGTTCCAGACTGTTTACAGTCATTCAAGAAATTCAGTGCATTTAAGTCTCATTTATATAGAGATCAAAAAGAATATCAGAGATCTATTAGAAGGGCCCAGTTTCAATTTCAAGTTTAAATTAACACACTCATCATTGCTAAATATAATTTATATAGAGATCAAAAAAAATATCAGAGATCTATTAGAAGGGCCCATTTTCAATTACCACACTCATCACAGCTAAAACCAGTTAAAAAAAAAAGCTAAAACCAGTTAAAACCAGCTGATCAAGTAAAACAATAACAACAACAAAAAACAACCAGTTGATTTAACAAAAAAACAAAAAAAAGTTAACAACCCAGCTGATTTATCATTAAACCAGCTTAAAACCAGTTAAAACCAACTGATTTAACAAGAAAACCAGCTAGCTAGACTTAACTGGTTTAAGCTGAACATAGCTGGTTTAAGCTTAGTTGGTCTTTTTGCAGGTCTCCCAGTTTGGCCAGCTAAGACCAGCCTGACAAGCTAAAAAGTGGCCAAAGCCACTTTAAAACCAGCTTAGGCTGATTTTAGCTGGGGGGTTTTTTTCCAGTAGGGAGTTGTTAAGCTTTGCCATAGCAATAGACAGCTTAAAGTGGTCATATGATGCTGCTAAAAATAACATTATTTTGTGTATTTGGTGTAATGAAATGTGTTTATGCGGTTTAAAGTTCAAAAAACACATTATTTTCCACATACTGTACATTATTGTTTCTCCTCTATGCCCCGCCTTTTTGAAACGCGTCGATTTTTACAAAGCTCATCGGTCTGAAAAAGCGAGGTGTACTGTGATTGGCCAGCTATCCATATCTCTTTGGTTTTGAGACTTTAGTGTTTGCAACTTTACAGATCTTCTTTATGCACCAAGAGCTTGTAACATTCCAAAGAGAAAGGAAAAATTTAAATCGCATCATATGACCCCTTTAAATATACCATAAGTCTCATTGAACAAAAGTTTTGACCCCCTCAATGAAAGTCTATGGGGTTTTTGGTGGATTTGATAGTCTGGTTTATGCAAACCGTAAGTCAGATCAGTTAGAAAAGATAATTGCTTTAAAAAGTGTTGTAAAGCAGAGATTCTCCGCTTTTCGGAGATATCTAATTTGTCTGATCAGAGATATCTCATACCCCTTGTCCAAATACCCACACTTGCGGTCTTGGCCACTTCTCACTTGAACACTTGGGCCAAATACAGGAAATACGTCATATAAGTGTTCAAGTGGTCAAGTGCAAAGACCGCAAGTGTGGGTATTTGGCCAAGGCAAGAGGCTCCGCAGCGCACGTGATTAGGTCATCACATTTTGACAACATTGATTCGTCAGAAGAAACCAATGCATTTCGTTCCTCTGAGCCAAACAGGAGCGATTGTTGACGCTTAGTCCCACCCCCGTACCCAGATTGGTTCAAACTGTCCCATATTCAACCAATAAACGTAGGTTTTGGTCTTTTGAACCACCATTTAGGATTTTTCATGTAAATTTGAACAAACGCAAAGTGAAAGTAAAGTCTGTCGTGTGTGCATGAAAACAAACACAAAATAACACATTTGCATGAGAGAACTCTCTGAAAAAGCCCAGAAAAACACACAACTGAGTACTTTGACATAAAACAAACCAAAAACAAGGATGAAACATCGGTAAATATTGGATAAAGCACTGGAATTTATGTCTTCGCGTTGCTAGGCGATGTCCCGGTAAAATCGATTCCAATACAGATGCAGCCAGCGGATCGATCCATTTATGTTATGTATATTATGTAAATAATTCTTATATAGTTCATAAAGATCATTTTCACTATTTTTTCTGTTGCACTCTGTATTTTTCTCACTCATTTTGTGTGTAGTTTGGGAATCATTTGCACTGTTTGCAGTTTTGTTGCAGAAGACAATTTGTGCAATTGTTTTCACTAAATA